TCTACTGGTAGGCAATCGGCAATCATATATCGGACAAACCCATAGCGTTTCGACGGATCTCCCTACGTCAGAAAATTCGGTAGTTGATTGATGATTCACACTGACAATGATATTATAATAACTTGTTATTACCCATTAGGATCTCTCAACGTTATTTTTTATTTTAAAATGGCAAACACCAGTCGGCAGATCCCATAACGTCTTCATAGCAATACACATACGACATACCCTTCGGATCTCTTAACGATAATATGCTTATTAGTTACTTATCAATTTATTATTATTACATAATTTATTAATTATAGTCAACATTTCTTTATTTCGTATACTGGATCCCATATCAGCATGACACATATACACTTTTAGACATAATTTTCTGAATCTTAGTTCTAGGTATTTAAAAATCTGGTTACAAGTTACAACTGTATCATAAATTAACACCATGTACAAGACTATGTGGTTGTAGAACAGTTAAAATTACGATAGAATACGTCACGGTTCATAAGTATATTCCACTATTACCCTTACTACCCTTACTCCATAGTGCAATACGTGTATCGTGTGTATTGGATCTTATAACTTCGTCAATTCAATTTTAAATTGTAGATAACATCACTGTATCAGATCAAAACTCAAGCTAATATTCTATACACGGTCTTACAAGATAATAGATATCTTCTCATTCTGATTCTTTTATACGTTTCTGCTTCTATTTATCAAACTATTTTCATAATTTTATACCCTAATCTCCGCACTTAACTCAAACATTATTCCGGGTAAATACCTCAAGAATGTTAAATCGTAACCTACGCATAAACTCTACACTTTCGCTGAGTCACAAAAGTCATGGCTCTCAACTGTGCGTTGATTTTTTAATCGCGTGCCAAAGAACAGGGTGCACTAGGTGATGAGACGTAGGGAGAGTATAGAGAGATGACGACGATGACGTATTGTAGTATAATGTTTTTTTTTATTTTAATATTATCAGCGATGGTAAAAAAATAAAATTGATATGAAACATACTAAAATCAAATTATGTATTCAAATTTATAGTATTAGTTTAGCGTTATGAACTAAGGTATAACTACCTATTTATAATTTATTTATTAATTTATAATGGTCAGTATACCGATTACCGAGTAACTTACTACCGTTTACTCTGAAACATTCCCAGTTGTATAGGGAGATTGTGTGAAAATGTGTATCTTATACAGCTATTATTGTATAATAATTATAGGTAGGTCGTAGGTACATCGCATATAATTGAGTAAGTTTCACATGGACACATATCGTACAGTGTACACGCGTAATTCACTTCACATTGGTTAAGTTCATACGTACCATAGGCGCACGCGTCTATTTCCATGCGATATTATCCGCGTTATTAAAACTAGGTAGGTATGAGTGTATCGTGTATGTCGTAATGTCGTATGACAAAACCTTGGATATTTAATTAAAATCAATTTTAGCTTCTGAGATTTTGATTATAATCAACAACCAGTTTCAAATAAAAATATATTAAAAATGAATAATGAATAGGTATTACATTTTGATATTTATTACTGATTCAACGTATTCAAATAATCAAATGTATAGTAGTATAGTAAACCGTATAATATATGATGTCCATTTATATACATTTTATGTAACATTATAGATTTATATTTTATATGTTTACACCATAGTACCATACTAGTATACTACTTATTACACTAAATTAATTTTTATTTATTAGTAATTATTCATTATAATATAATATGGACTAGTATTTTGTAACTTTAAATTTAATCACCCCCTCTATTAGTATGTCAACAGATCACGCAGCGGCCTGTCTAATAAGTTTTACTATATTTTCATTTTCTTTATGAATACTATATGATCTATCTATTTTTTAGATTCTGAGTGGAGCGATGAATGTATTTTTATAATGAAAATTAACAAGTGTTAAATTATATTTTTATAATAATATAATAATTTATTGTTTCTTGTATATCAGTATATTCAAATTATAGCAACACTATAGTACCTGGGAATCTGATATTTTTTAGGGTTAATAAGACTAGCATGTTTTTACTTAAATTTTGTTTAATAATATTATGACACATAGGAAATAGGTAGGTTATGTTCTTTACGTACAAGTTTTTGAAATTATGTCAACGAACAGCAATTATTTTTGGGTGGAGTGGAAAATTTGTAGGTAGTAGGTATTAAATAATATAATAATAAAAACATAATTAACGTAATTTGTAACAGCTAACTTTTTAAATGAAAAAGTAATATAACTTGATAAACATAATAGAATGGGTACCTAACCTAAAAATAATTTAATTATTTTTAAAAATTGAATTCTAGATTGCCATTTACCATTTTTAAGAAGAAAAATAAGGATAGTAATTAATGAAACTATACAGCAATGCATTTTATAGTAATTACTAATTACAATCACTATAAGGCTCGGTCAAACTGAGAGCGGGCTGCCAGGTGTACGAGTACGCTGACCGTGGCGGGCAGCGGTCGGTTGTATTATTTTACAGTGCCCGTCCGGGCAGACCACTTACAAATATTTATATTTTATATACTGACGAAATATAAAATAATACCTAATAGTATGCATTTTCTATAAAGATAACGCGGATTTAATAAGATCGATGAAATGAAAATTATTACAGAACACACTTCAAAATGCGACGTTGCCGAGATTTGGATCTCGGAAAAGGCGAGCACATAATATATCTGTGTGTCGATTAAAACAATTTTCGTACACACACCATCGATTGTGGCGCAACCTGCACTACACACACCAAAACTAATTTACACACAATTTCTTATTTATAGTATTTTATTAGATCCGTCCGATTTTTCGTAAACCCCTATTATAAATACTCATTGAACCAATATTTGATGAAAACGTTCCGAGATCTAGTCCAATGGATCTCACTACGAAAAATGATCTCACAACGCTGCTCATTTTCCATACGTTGGATCCCATAAGGTACTATATGTAAACCCACGCGTGCAAGCACCGTCCAGTGGTAGTGTTGTCACCTCCAAAAACCTGTAGATGGTGATTTTATTAAAGCTTTAGTTTAAAGGTAAACACACTCATATTCAAATATCAATATTATCAATATTAAAGAGTAAAAAATATATTTTCACTATCAAAAAATGTTGTTTATTTATATTTTTTTATTAAAAACGATAAACTTTTGGCGAATATTAGAATTCACCTTTATTTCGCCTTGTACAAGAATCAAACTATAGGTTCACATGTTTTGACGATATTAATAAGACTCGAGGTAATAGTATGCTTTTTTTGTGAAACGAGACTGTAGTCTAAGCAAATTGTATAATGTTATAATAACCATCGTCGGCCATTTATTTTGAACAATAATCCGAAGGAATATAACGACGATAATTTATACGTGTATAAAATTGTACACATCTCAAACTCAGGAAACTCTGTTTGTGTAACTTGTAGAACGGTGTATATAAATAGGTAATTACATAATATGACAGACAGTTTTCGCTTATAAATATAATATAATGTTAAACATTTCAATAATAGTTCATAATATACATGAATATTATCGCTCTTTGGAGAACAAAAAATTAACATTAAGGGACCTACACGTGACTGGGTTTTCTGCTCAAAAGCATGCCTTGCAGGAAACGAATCGTGTAGTAATCCGATTTCTCTGATGCTGTTGACACGACGTGTGTGCTTGTACCGTATACAAACTACCTATACGCGTTCCTAGACCGGTCTAAACCAGGGGTCGGAAACCTTTTCGTAAGGAAGAGCCATTTTTTCGAAAAATTACAAAACCATGATGTCTAGGGAGACGCACAAACCTTTTTTTAGTCGTAGTTGTTTGTATAGGCGATATATTATAGAATATTAGAATAAAGATAGTATTATTATTTCATTGAAAAATTGGTAGGCATTAAAAACATAATGATATGTCTTAAATTTAGAAAATATAGAAAAACTTTATTCCATTAATTCATTATTATTATTGTTTATACAAATATAATATTATTTAACTAAATATAATAACACACAAAACAACGTATCTACTTAAACTATTGGGAATTTTCCAAAGAGCCGCAGGTTCCCGATCCCTGGTCTAGACATCGTTGGGTCTAGAGACTGCGTTAGACGCAAGGAACTGACGACGTATAATTTTCTGAACTGCTTTCCTCAACCCGTCAGACGTTATCAGTGTTATTCATAGTCAAATTGGACCTCGTTTTACAATGGTTTAGGGCCTAGCCACACTATGCGTTTTGGCGGGTCCGGTCAAAACGCATCCGGTCGACCGGAACAACGAATCACATAAGTTCTAATCATAGATGTCACACTAGTGCGTTTTATCGGGACCGGTCGATTCCTGCCGCTGACCGACCGCAACATGTTGCGGTTTGGCAGGAACCAACTCGACGGGAAGTTTAAGCAAAACACGTTATATTGTATTGTGCGTGCCACACTATGCGTTTTAGCAGCTGCGTTTCCTACTTTTTTTAAAATATTAGTTTTTAATTTTTATATAAAATATTATAATATAAATTATTTATTTCTAATATTTTAAAAACATTGCAACATTTTGGCTTTTGCAATGGTTTTCGATACTGACAAATTTATTTCGTGTATTCAAAATAATCCATCGATTTGGGAATTAGGGACAAAGGATTACATGGATAGAAATATAAAAGAAAAAAGTTGGAACACTATTGGGGAATACTTATATGAAAATTGGACTGAAAAATCAAATACAGAAAAACAAAACACAGGTAAGTAGGTACTGTTTATATTATTTAATCATTATAATATTATTATTTCAATAGTTAGGTATAATAATTTAACATAGAAATCTAAATATGAATACAAATAAAAAAATGTAATGCTGTTTTACATAAAAAAAATGAGTTCCTATATATAAATTATGATACATTATTGGTCTCTTAAAATCTTCAGTTGATTAAGTAATATTAATAATATACTAAAGTACATTGTACTGAAAATCTACTGCTCCTGGACCCATAAAATAGTTGGCGAAGTAATCCCTAACTGCAACACCTTGCGAACGAGCCCCTCCTCCGTGGGTTTCAATGTCATCAAAACTGTTGATTTCAGAATCTTCATAATTGATACCGTCTCTCTTACGGACGAAGTTATGTAGAATACAACAAGCTTTGACAATTTCATCTGTAAAATCTGGCTCTACTTGTATCGATGTATGTAATACGCGCCATTTATTAGCAAGTACTCCAAATGCACATTCAACTGTGCGCCTTGCTCTCGATAACCTATAGTTAAATACTCTCCGTGTATCGTTAAGATTACGCCCCGGATAAGGCCTTAGTAAATTTGTGTGTAAAGCGAAAGCTTCGTCCCCAACAAAAACATAAGGCTGAGGGCTATCATTTGTATTTGGTAATATAATTGGTTCTGGAATATTCAATTTCTCGCCATATAATAATTTACCAAATGGACACTCTTTAAAAACATTAGAATCTCCTTCTCGGCCATACGATCCTACATCAATTGAAATAAAATTCAAATTTGCATCCACTACAGCCATCAATACTATCGAAAAGAATTTTTTGTAGTTGAAAAACAATGATCCCGTGTTGTTAGGATTTTTACATCTTATATGTTTCCCATCTATTGCTCCGAGGCAATTGGGGAAATTAGTTTTCAAATAAAAAATTCTCGATATTTCCACCCATTCCTCTGTAGTTGGTGCAGGCATTTCTATTAAATGTAAATTGATCCAAATCGCTTGACATGTTTCTCTTACTATAACTCCGATTGTACTTCTTCCAACATGAAAATCGAATTTTAGAGCGGCAAAGTACGTACCAGTTGATAAATATCTTGAAAAGATTTAAAAACAATTATAAAATGTATTATTATAGTAATAATAAATATCTAGTTGAAGTATGATTTACCAATATAAGTTGTATTAATATAATTACTGTATAATATATATTGTTATACTTTTATTTTTTGAGGTAGGTACTTATTTGATTATATAAAGGGATATTACTATATTTTAAGTTTCATTTAACTCATAAACTAATTTTATTTATTTTAATGTACTATTCTAGTCAAAGAAATGAAAACCAAATGGAGACATATACGGGACAATTATTCAAAGTTTATCAACCAGGCAAAAAGTGGTGATAGTGCTACAAAAAAAAAATATGTATTTGCTGAATCGCTTTCATTTTTACAGCATGTAATTAAAAAAAGAAGGTACAAATAAAATGTTTAGTAATATTAGTTATGTTCATAACTTTCTTAGTTAATTTCCTTATTTTAACATTTTAACAATATTTATAATTAAATTGCATATTATTTTATAAATTGTTATAAACAAATTTAGAATTTAGTGACATTGCTATAGTTACCATAGTTATACCACTGATTTTATAATACACTACTATAAAATCAATGGTTACACTTTTGATAAACATATTCCTCAATTCCACTTATTAATTATTAGTTAATATTGTAATAATTGTATACAGATTGTAAATTGTCTTTCTTAATAGAAAAAAAAATATAATAATTACTATAGTTATTACAAATTGAAAAAAAATTATTATTATTATAAATTATCATAAAATTTAATATTTGTATATGATTAGAGAATAAAATGTAATTTTAATATAATCTTATATTGTAGAACAACTGGTAATTTCAATGAATTTGGGCAAAATGACAATGAAGAAGAAACAGAAGAAGAGATTAACATCACTGTGGATCCAGATGAATTTGAAAGAAATGGGAACTCACCTGCTTCAACATTTCAAACAAATAAAACTGGAACTTCAACCACAGGACTCAGGAGTCAAAAATGTAAAAAAAATAATGTAACACCATTTCAGCAAGAATTATTAAGTGCTCTAAATAATCCTGAAGAAGAAAACAACTTTGATCCTGATAGGGCATTTTTAGTGTCTTTATTACCAGATTACAAAAGGTTAACATATCAACAAAAAACTGATTTTCGTATAATGACCTTACAATATTTTAGAAAAATTTCATTAGAAGCTAACCTATCTCAACCATTATATGATTCACACCACAATGTAACTTATCCAAGTATCACACAAGCACATTATACTTCACAACTAACCTTACCTATCCTGTCCACATATACATCATCTACAACAGATTCAACGTTAAAAGTACCACCTCAACAGGCTCAACATTCTATGGCATTCCCTCCATTACATTCTTCGGGATCATATATATCTGCAGACCAAGATAATGCCAATACAATTTCTGATTATTACAAAAATTATCAATAATTTCTTCTATTATCTTAAGGTTTTTTTTTTATTTTGCATACTAAAGTGATTATTTTATTTTTTATTTTTATTTTATTTGATGTACCTACTACTTTTGTTTTAAACTATACAAAAAGAATACCTGGTGCTGTACTAAGTACTTTATAAAGTAACTTTTTTTTTATTTTGCATACTAAAGTGATTATTTTATTTTTTATTTTTATTTTATTTGATGTACCTACTACTTTTGTTTTAAATTATACAAAAAGAATACCTGGTGCTGTACTAAGTATTTTATAAAGTAACTTTTTTTTATTTTGCATATTAAAGTGATTGTTTTATTTTTATTTTATTTGATTAAACTTGTATTTTCCGAAATCATCAGGAATTTTCCGGCATCTTTATTCTTTATCCCTAACCAGTTATATTTTATTTTTACTTATTTAACAAATTTGTTACAAGTTACAACATATTATCATATTAATTTCGATTTTTTTTTTTTTTATTTAGACCTTTATTAATTTGCGTTACAATGTGTTAATGTATAATATTATTTAATATTTGTATTTTAATTTTAACTCATGAAACGCCAACGCATGTTTAAATTTTAACTAACTTACCTCAAAGTAATTGTAAGCCGTTCTTCAGCACAAATTGGATTACGAAATAAAGTGGTGTTTTTTGTAATACGTGGACGTAGAATTTCTAATAACTCATCAAAACTCGAAATCGACATGCGATAGTATTCGAAAAATTTTTGTGGATAACGCCTTATGTTTTTAAAAAAATCTTTGAAATGTCCAGTTTTTTCTCGTTCCACATTGAGAGGATGAACCCAGTACCTCCTTTCTGATTTAATTGTATCCAATAAACCAAGTGCTTCAGCTACTGCAATGACTTTTACTTTTTTACGATTCATTCTAACAAAGTAATAACTTATACATTAATTTATAACAATTTACCGTAATGAACAAATTATAATAATATACTTACTTGTGTAGAATAATCAAATTTTTAAATTTAATACTTTGAATAATATACAAATACGCACTTAATAAATAAACCGCACACTGTTATTTTTTAATAAAATATTTTATACTAAATTAAAATAAAATTACTACAGTATCACATTCAGAACGATGTTGAAGATATTTTGGTAGGTACTTTCGATGCCACGTCCATCGTGTTATTGAAATAATTTGACCTACGAGGCAAACAGATGGAACGTTTTCAAAATGAAAAACGCATGATGTGGCATCTACTCGTCATCCTGTCAAAAAGCGTACTGCCAAACCGGACCCGCCAAAACGCATAGTGTGGCTAGGCCCTTAATAGTAGTTTAACAAAAGTTTATCTTTTTTGTTATTCATAGACGATAAACTTTACTTAGACCATTGACTAAGTTTAACGATAAACCTCTGAGTTATAAACTAGGTTAACACTAGGTTTAAAGCTGGTTAATTATAAAAATCACTGTTATCTTAATAATATGTATTATCATTTAAATTAATTCATTCGTGTTTTAAAAACTTGTGCGTTTTATACTTACGAAAAATGGATATCGGTAATGTACAAAATGTTAGACGTGTAAGAAATTTAAGAAATGTGCATTTTATTTGACAGCAAAAAATATATAAGATTCGTAAAAATCCTTACAACGAACTTACTAATAATGAATTTCGTAAAAAGTATCGATTTTTAAAAGCATTCTGCTTACAAATCGTAAACGAAATTCGTGACTTTTTACCTCGAGCAGTTAAAAATCGTGGAAAACCAATTTCGCCGGGCTTACAATTGTTGATTTCACTTCGTTATTTGGATAGAGGACAAGTAATTATTGATTATGTTTTCATGTTTATAGTAATAGTTCATTTATGAATTTAAAACAAATTAAAGTACCTATATTATTATAATTTAAGGTTCAGGACGACAATGGAGACTTACATGGAGTTAGTCAACCGACAGTCAGTCGATGTTTGAGTCAAGTTTGTAGAGCACTAGCATCATTAAAAAATAATTATATTAAGTTTCCATTGACCAATGAAGAGTTAGCTACTAAGAAGGCAGATTTTAGTAGAAAATTTAATATGCCTTCGATAATTGGTGCGATAGATTGTACACCTAGGTATACGTATCAAAAAGGTGGCGGGTGACTACGCTCAATTGTACATTATTAGAAAAGCCTTTTATTCAATAAATGTTCAAGTAAACCATATAACATGTATTTTATGAAAATACTCAAATTTATAAAATACAAAGTTAAAATCATGTTAAAATTATATTTAATACTTATAAATAATAATTAATAATTAATAATTTAGGTAATTTGTGATGCAAATTGTCATATATTGCATTTAATTGCTCGTTGGAGAGGAAGTGCACACGATTCAAGTATTTGGAACGAAAGTCTTATCAAGGAACAATTTGAAAATGGATCAATAAATGGTATCTTACTTGGCGATAGTGGTTATGCTTGTACTCCATAAATGTTAACACCAATTCTTAATCCTCAAAACGATGCGGAGCGACAATACAATTACACACACGTCAGCGCAAGAAACACAATAGAGAGATTATTTGGACAAATCAAGCAACGTTTTCGCTGTCTATTGCTAGGAATGACCATAAGTCTCGAGAACACTAAAGTTGCTATAGTAGCATTATCAGTGTTACACAACATGAAATTATATTTTAAAAAATACTTAAATATTAGTAATATAAATCCTAACGATAACAACAATAGTAGCACAGAAGATAGTATAGTGAAGATGATGATTATAATGAAAAAAGTGAAAGTGATAGTTCTGCAGATGAGGACAATTATAATGTTGTACAAATAAACCAAAATAGAGGTAATATAGCAAGAGCGCAGTACATACGACAGTTTTTTAATTAAACGTATATAATATGTATATTATAGGTAGGTAGATTACATAATATCATATAATGTATAGGTAATTTAGTTAATATTATTAAATATGTATAGAGGTCATATTGTCATAAGTAATAACTTTTAAGTAAGTACATTATATTTTGATCTTTTATTTGTATCATTTTTTTAAATTTCAAATTTCATAAAAAAACACTCGTCTTAAATTTAATTAAGTAATACTATAATTATAGGAAAGTATAAAAGATTAAGGAATATAAAATTAACATTTTATAATAATATTAGTTAAAACTTTTTTTATTTTTATTCTTGTAACTTTTGTAAATAAAAACAAATCTCATAATATATTTTATAGTACCTAATAATTATCATATTAATATTTAACAATATATTTTTGTAACAGTCGTAAATAAATAGTTTAAAAACAAATCACAAAATATATGTTATTACTTAGGTATCTAAATAACTGATAAGTGATAACATAGTTATAAATTATAAATATAATAAAGAATAATGTTTAGTATTTTATAATAATTGAAGTATATAGGTATAACAGAATTGTTGCGTAATATAAGTAGATGACAAGAAATTAAAAATGTAATCTGATACCTATATTTAATTTGAACGGTTTAAATCTTGAATCTGCTTCAAGTTCTCTAACTGTTTTGTTTTTAATTCATAATACTTCAATTTTGCTTCGTTTATGATTAAGCGCTGGTTATGTTCTAAAGTCAAAAACTTTTTTTCTAATTCAAACTTTTTTTTTTGTATTTTTAATAAATTTGCTTCGTATTCAGTCATTTGTATTTCTAAATTGTTTCCGTTAAATCCTTGATTTTTTTTTTGTACCTCATACAAATACAAATTCTAATATTAAGACATGTTACTAAGACACGTTACTGCTTACTAAGAACAGTACCCCCTTATGATTTCAGTACTTTTATGTTTATATGTATTTATATTGTTCTATGGTGCGTCACTATTGATTTAACAATTAATTATAATATAATATATAATATATAGTATTACTATTATATATAATATATTAAATATTTGATATTATTTTTTGAGAGAGGAGATTACCTAAATAAGAATCAGTAGTCACAGGATAAATCAATACTTTTTTTTTAACAACAACATTAAAGTAAAATATTTAAAATGTTTTGTGTAAAAAAAATTAGTTTAAAATGTCTATAAATAGCTCAGAAAAAAAGACAAAAAACTCATGATTACAATTATTATAAAAGTTATAAATACTATACCTTTTTAGCTGTGCCAGCATTGTCACAGTCAAAATCGTTTGCATCTTTAATAAAGTCCACTGGCATTAAAGACTGCAATGTCATGTCTAATTTGTTTATTGATTCTGGTAGAGGACCTCCTCCAGTTTGTTTTAAATTTTGTTTATATGACGAAACATTTTT